CGTGGGCAGGATCCCTCTTCAATCCGACTCGTCTGCTTGCCATGGCCTCCCAGGACGACCCTGTGTAGCGCCGTCTTTTCAATACTTTCGCGACCTCTGGCAACATGGCATCTCAGAGCGATGTCTGTGCTCGGCACGCCGAACTGAGGCAAACGCCATTTTGGCAAAGCTCTGCAAACTCATTGGCAAGCAAAGACCTGGATGCACCTGCAACTCGGAAAAAGCAACAACTTGCATGTTTTTCATGCTCGGACCTCAACGTACACGTCCTGTGCGGAGTGGAGGAACACAACGAGCCGGCCGGCCTCACTTCACGCCACGCAGAGGATTGTGGCCCGCTGACATATATCTCACTATACCAGGGAGCAGTGCAAACATGCTTTGCCTTTTGTTTGTGCATCAGGACCACACAGCATATTCACACAAACACCTGGATATTTGACAAATGTTGGTGTTGGTCTTGCATATATATATATACACACACATACACACATACGCACGCTGCGACATACCGCCACGACTGCTTGCGTATGACAAGCTAGGAGGAGGACAACCGATGTTTCCTGTGCTTCGGCATAACATGCTCCGTGGAATCGCATGCAGTTCGCAACGCTCTGTCTTCGTGTCGCTGCTGGTGGTGGACTTGAATTAGCAATTAGCAATTACACAAAAGGAAGCTATCATAGAAATCTGATTCGACTGTGTGGTGAATATGCAGCTGTCGTCTTGACACGCAGCTACAAAAATCGCCGATGCGTGCTATTCCGCTTCAGAGCTCTCGCATGCTCTATTACATACCTGCGCACCGGACAGAAAATCAAACAAACAAAAACACCTGCATGCAAACATACATGCATACATACATACATCCATGGATGCATGCATATGCACGTACACGCAGACAGGATAGCAAAATCGATAATCGAACACGTGCATCTATGCATGTGTGTATGTGTACAGGTGCCTGCTACGAACTTGAGACACGTCTGCAGCTCGGTGCCTGGTTGACCTCACCGGTAAGGAGCGTCTCCTTAACAAAGCGGGCAGGGCTTTCAGGCTTAGGTGACTTCAGTTCAGCACAAATGTTTCCACTCAACGACAGCTGGCATTCACTTCTTCGAGTGTCTGAACAATGCACGTGGTACCACAAAAACCTAATGGCTCTCCAGGAACCACATCTAGCCGTGGTCGAGACTCTAAGGCTTGTCTGGGACGGTCTACCTTCCTCATGCTAAAGTTCAGCTGGTGGAAGTCACCTCTGCATAAACCATTTTTTGTCCGCCCCGCCCCCCCCCCTCTCCTATCAAGCAATCGTGGCATGACCTGCAAAAAATGTGCTCCAGAAAACAGCCTGGCTTCGTGCTGTGACAGAAATCCATAGATCACATGCCCTATCGCAAACAGGTAGAATATGGCAGTGTGCATTACCACACTTTAGGAAAAGTCGATTTACAGCAAGAAAAAAGTATGGTACCCTGGCTGTTCCTTGTGGGATTGTCTTACGCGCCATCCGGTCGGCTCCCGTATCGCAAGCCACAGCAAGCACGGTGTGCCAGGTGGAACTACGGCAATGGTAGATTCTCTGACTGTCGCCACGTGCTCATGCCTGCTTGCTATTTTCCGGTAAAATCAGCCTGAGTTGACACTCAGCCCGCAACGAGTGCGTCGAATGTGATTTGCAAGGGATGATCCGGCCGTGGGGCAATCGCCTGGGTCGGAATGCTGACTGACAAATGCTACAGTGGGCAGTTCTGAAATGCTGCAGTGGGCAGTTCTGAAATGATAACCTGCCACCCTGTAATCACCTTCACGCGCTATTAAGGCCCCAGCTCGCGATCCTATCAGCTCACCTCGAAGCTCGGGTTGCGAGAAGCAAATGAAGACACGTGTGTGTGTGTGTATATATATATATATGCATATATACATATATACACACATACACATACATATACAAAAACATATACATATACATATACATAAAAAACCATATACTCTACAGCAGCATGTTTCTGCAGCAAAACATGATGCAGCAGAGCATCTATTACCTGTCGGTCTGTCTGTGTACATATATAAACTTACTGTATTGTATCTTGCGCTCAAAATGATGCATGTGCATGCATGTATGTATGTCGCGCACCTATGTAGGTCATGTAGGCAGGCATGTAATGGCTTGTATGCATGCAGGACTCCTCACGAATGAATGCATCTTCTTCAGCACGGCCAGAATCTTCTTCTTCACCAGAATGTCTCTCTCTCTCTCTCTCTCTCTCTCTCTCTGCCGTTGCATCCAGACGGTCTAACAGTGCCAATGAACACGCATGCATACAATGTATTTAAGGCGCATTTTCACTTCTTGTGTAGCTTCGTCTAGTACAGAATAGTACGGTATTTTGTAAAAATACAGTGCAGTATAGCATGCAAGCAGCATTTCGCGTCATGGTATGGAGCATTCTCGTATAGCACTATGCAGTTCAGCATGCACCAAAACAAATAAAGCAACATAGTATACACATTATAAATATCGTGTGCTCCATGTCTGGGTAGGCAGGCTGGCAGGCAGGTAGGCACGTTTTATTTGTATGCATGCACGGTAGAGAAAACAGACAGACAGACAAACAAACAGACAGACCGGCAGGCCAACAAAAAAAAAAACACACACACACACACTTACACTTACACTTACACTTACACTTACACTTACACTTACACTTACACTTACACTTACATATATATATATATATTTTACACACACACACAAACACGGACGGCTGGCGCATCGCACCACGAGGCTTGAGGACATGGCGGCTCCGCTCCAATGCCGCTTTCTCCAGAACAACGACTAGCCTTTCATCTGTAGCGCAAGCTTGAAGTTGGAGCATGCATCACCAAGTGCACATCAGTGTCAATCATCATGCCGGGCGGCTTGGGAGGGCCTTGGAAACGATCCTTAGCGTTCGCAGAAGCTCTTTGCTGTTTCCCTTGTTTCCCTCTTCTTCGGCAGCGCGCCTCCTCGAGGAACCATGGATAGGCGGCGATGTTGTGCCTTTGAAAACCAAGCACAGCGCAGCAAGAAGGAGCTTCAGCCGGCTCTGGGTGCCTCATTGGCTCCTCATCGCTCTCATCCCCGGGGGCCTCCAATGCCTTAGACAAGTCCGGGTCCATTGTACGTTAAAGTATAGGCAATGTGACATATCATAGCGATATCAAAGAAGTAACTGAAATAGAGCTTAGGGGTATCATGGAGTATCCGTAGGCCCGCCGCGTCGTAGGCCGCCTGTTGCCCGGGCCCACTTCGAGAGCAACAAACAGTTCGAGCAAGTCCTCGGCTCCCCACAGCAGCGCGGTTCTTGGTTGTCAAGTTCTGGCTGCTGAAGCGGCACGGTTCACAGCTGAGTTTTGACCCAACCATCCTGCAAGCAACGCTGACACATAAATGGACAGCTGGCTCAAACCAAAGGCTTACAGACAGTCATGCCTCTGCACGAAGACATGGCGCCGCGAAACACCTGTTGCACCAGGAATGCTATACCCTAAACACCCTGCCACTACTAGAGGCTCGACCAGCCTTCTCACCGCCTACCAGGCCTCAGCGAAGTCGACAAGACCGGCGTGTTGCACAGATCGCGCAGCGAGCGATTGTTTAAATGCACAGGGGCTCAAAGACAGCTTCCCTATACATCTGAGAGGTGTGACGACGCCGGGGCTGCCCCGACTGAGGTTGCAGCCAGCGCCAAGTAGCAAGCAGAGACACAAGAAAATCAGCACGACGATCTTCCAGATTGGCAAGGACCTAACAGTCTACCACCGCGCTCGTCGCGGAGCATGTTGAAACTGAGGTGAATCGAGATGCCACTTCAGTCCCAAAGCTCTCCCATTATTGTGATGATGATAGTGATGGCGTGTTCTCATTGCAAGCAGCCCTAAGGTAGAGTATCTACACCTTAAAGAAGAGGCTCGGGAATACATGAATCAATTAAGGGAGCTCGCGGGCGCTTACGAGTACTGCACAGTGATTTCGCGTCCCCACACATCCAAACGGGACCTCAGACTTGAACGACCCAAAGCAAGCCTCTTGGAAATCCCCCTGCACTTCAGCCTTTCAAATCCGGAAGCACCCTATGCAGCCCCTTTCAAGAGACTCCCAACTCAGCACAGACCCCCAGGTGACTCTTCATCTCCTTCGTGTGATGCGGCTCAGGAGCCGATCAGGAGGTCGCTGCTCCCTATGCTCCTTTCAATCGGCTCACATCAAAGTAGAGGATGATGAGTTCATTCCTCTAAAATTTGCGGTCATTGCTGAAAAGAGCAAGTGCAGATTCAGACAATGGTGGGCGACCACTTCTTGCTGCTCACATGTCCCGTTCATGTCGTGGTCATAGCCACAATCATCGCGATCGTAACCATTGAGCGATGCAAAACCGAACGGCGTCCTTTGCTGCTTCTGCCAGCGCCTGGCGCATGCTTCCCAGGGCCTGCACTTCAATTTCAGTCTTTAAGTGTTCCACCTGATCGGCCTTTGCCGCCCGTTCCTACGAAGGAATTTCGGTACCTTTTCTCTGGCTGATGCCTTCAAGCTTAAAGATCTGCACGGCACAATGCTACTTCCGGCCACCTCTAAACCTGCGAAGCACGCCCTTCTAAGAACCCTTCTGAGGACCGGCTACATAAGAGAAGCCCGCAGCCCGCACAAGAAGGACCGCAACAAAAATCATGACTTTTCAGGCGCCCCGCATTTCAATCGTGCTTCTCCTCTGAACGGATGCTTCTTCTGCAAACGAGCGGAGGAAACCTTTGGATATACTCTGCAAGCTTTAAAGGGCAAATTGGTGTGCAACAGCTTCGTCCACGGAAGCGCCGCAAACTCAGACGATCGGGCTGCAGCGTGGGCAGAGGCTGAAGAGAACCTGGAAGCTCACAGGCCCAAACTCTTCATCTTCAGGGTTTACGGTTTCAGCACTCACACTCGGACGAGCCTAGGTTTACGGTTTAGGGTTTGGGGTTTACTGGGAGTCAGTCACACACAAAAAAGTGTGCTGACCAAACTCCTCAACCCTAAACTCTATTTGCAGCTGAACTTCGTATTTCTCTGGCGATGTCACTGCCATGCTGCAGCGCCACTTGGCCTCAGAGGTGCACCAGCAACTCCTGAATCGTCATGTGTTACATACTCCTTTGATTGATGGCTATTGCCATGTCGTCGTCTTCGATGTTGTTGGTGGGTGCGTATGCTTCGTAGAAGACGAGTGACGAAAGCCAGGCTGCCGACGAAATCGCTGAGCAGCACGACATCCTGAAAAGACCCCGTAGAAGGAAGGATCTTTCAGGCCAGATGCCGGGGTTGTCAACAGGCTCTTTGATAATCTCTGTTCTACCGTCTGCGTAACTGCAAACCAAAGTGGCAGCAGCTGATTGTACGGCCTGCCATGCAATCATACAGGACACAAGAAAGTGCATGGCAAGTGCTGCGTGGGTGACCGATGCCAAAGAGGCCTGGCACCCACACAGCCCGAAAGCGCTGGGAATACTCGCTGCTTCAACAGCTTTCACCTTTCAGGGGAAGTAGCGTGCGCACGTTGCTTCATGTGAAATCTTGCGCCAAAAGATCGCATTTGGAAGTGCCAGGTGTGCCTCACTCTCAGCTGCGCCAACGTAAAGCAAGGTGTGCCCAGCATCCTGCACTGTCTCATTCCTATGGTCCTAGAGCTGTTGGCTTCGATGTTTCTTCGGCAGCGACCAGTGACAAGAATCACAACAACTGTTCAGCTGCCATTGCTACTGTCCGTTGCCTCACTGCTGCCGTCATACCGACTACGACTACGACCAGCACCAGCGCTCCCCAATCCCCACCACCACATCCCACCACCATCCACCACCACTTCTGGCAGTTGCGAAGGCCTTGGGGCTCTGCTGTCGCTGATACCACGACGACCCCTACTACGCTAGGACGGTCATAACGACGAGGTCATAACGACGACATCTATTCACCTATCCCCGCAACTACAGCTGACAGCTCCGGCAATTGGTACTGCCACAGCTGTTTCTTCTGCGCACATTGCGAAGCTCATCATTCTTTGAAACCCTGGTCATCACCATTTTCGCCGCACTGCCGTCATTGCCGCCATCACCAGCGCCTTTGGACTATGCTCGCTACCGCACCGCCACCGCCACCATTGCTATCATAACCACCACTGCCCACTTCATCGTGGTGATGGTTGCTGTTGATCTCATGTGACCGTGAAAGATGTCGGTGTATTCAAAAATTAGGGATTTAGCAAGCCCTGCGACATGCAAGCCCACGGCGAGTTCACCCCTTGCAGGACTGGTTCTGGACATGATTCTGTAGGAATGCATACGTGCACTGAAGACACCACTTTCGCTGAACCCTGCGATCAGTGTCGTGTCAATGCCTGGAGCCTTGAGTATCGCTTTCATTTTTTCCCGACGTGGAGCAGTGCGCGGTTTCAGCATGGTTATCAATGCCTGTGGCAAGCTCTCACTGCACGCCATAACATTGCAATTGCGGTGCATGTGGCTTCTTAGCGATTGGTGGCTCTGGTGTCAGTGCAGGTGCTTTGTGTGAGCTGAGCTGTTGCCGCTGCGGTTGTTCTTGTCCCTGCAGTTGCGGTCGTTGCTGTTTCTGCCGTTTTCCTTAGTCAACCTAGTATGCAGGAAGGTCACCCATAGCTTGGTGAAAATGGTTATCTTCTGCGTGGGCCAGCTACTCTGTGATGATGTTGCCTACTGTGCCAGAGTACCAACCCTGCAGTTAAAGCTCTCCGTGGGCAATGCCACTATATGTCCGCACGGGGCCGATCTACCTACAACGAGGGATGCTTAGCTCAAGGACAAACCCGAAGCCTGTTGCATCGTCTATTGTCATTTGGTCGGTGTCGTCGTCCTCGTCAGCGTCGCCTATCTATCCCTCTCCCGCGCTCGTGCTTTTCGTCCATCAATAACTTGATCATCATGATGTCTTTCACAACTGCCCTAAACCCGAACCCCCCAAACCCCCAAACCCCGAAACCCCAAACCCCAAACCGCTAAACCCTACAGCTCCGCTTTACCTCTGATCGCCCTTTCTTTATTTGCTGGCCCTCGTCTAGTCGTAAACTCCGAGCTCTGGCTTAGGACGGAGATGTTAAACAGAAGGCAGCATTGAGGCCCTCGTCTCCTGGAGCTGCTTTACGGCTTCGGCGGCTCTGGACACAGGCAGGCCAGCCACGATGAGAGGCGGCGCGGTGGGTGACAGGGGGACTGGCGGCAAGTTTAGGGCTAAGGGTACCGGGTGGGCTTTGGGTTTATGGCTTAGGGTTTCAGCACTCACACTCGGACTTGCCAGGGTTTAGGGTTTAGGGAACCGTCGCAACTCAATCGCAGGCCCAGCTACTTGCCACTCTCGTCGCTAGCAGGAGATGCCCCGTCACTGATTCGGAAGACATGTCAGAGCCACCTTCGGGCAGCAAGCGCCAATCTTCTCCTTCATCAGGTGCTGCCACCTTTGTCAAGCCAAAAGCAAACCAACATGTCGTCGGAAGCTATGAAGCAGAAAAGCCCATTGCCTTCAGGATGCCTGGTGAGTATCTATACTTGGAAACCAAACTGCACGAAGAGAACACATTTAAGTTTAGAGCTTCTGCTATCGAAACCCCAGATCAAGGTACCGAAGCTGTGGAAACAATACTAGATGACCTGTAACCCTACCTTTGGTTAGTAGGGAATGGAAGAATGGTAGTAATGGTACTTATAATAGTTCCCATTCCTCCATTCCCTACTAACCAAAGGTAAGTAACGACATCACAGCGACTGAGCCGTGGCCAAGCAAGCCGCTGCAATTTCACTTTCTTTGGGACTTTCCGAAAATAGGGGGTACCTTATTTTGGGGGTTCCTTATACTAAGGATCCTATTATTTAGGGTACTATATTAGGGTTCCCTATTTTCGGAAACCCCCCTTTCGAAGCTCCCTGTCAACACGACTTGGGTTGTGCGCGGGCAGAAGTTTGTGAAGCTTCGGGTGAATCTTGAACCAAACAAGAGAATTACCCTTGTTTCGTGGACTTGTCAACTTGAAATGGCATTTCGGTTCCAGCAGACTGCCGTGGAGTGCAGAGCTGCCTCATCTACTGAGGGATGGGAGTGTCCCGTGACCTGCACATTCAGACTGAGGCGCAACGGAGAAGTCGTCACCAAAAAACCTTCTGGCGATCTCAGCTGCCTCACGATGTGGGAGTTTCGTAGATATCGGGCTACTTTGCTCAGAGGTCCTTGTACGAGGGATCCTATCAGTCTGGGTCTTTTGTTTGGAATGATTACCCCAGGACACAGCATGGCCTGCCTGGAATGGCTGCAGCTCGGTGAAGAAAACCTGAGCGGGGTCTCAGGGTTTAGGGGGATAAAGCGCTGCATCATCATTGGTTTAGGGTTTAGGTTTAAGATCTTATGGACGCCTCAACCGCAGCCAGTGGATTTAGTCCCAACTGCTGCAAAGAAGCTATAGCCACTTTGCCTCAGACTCGCCACGACTCACGTCACGAACTGTGTTCTCTCAACACGAGAGCTGCATGACAAGCCAGCCGGATGGCTAAAGCAAGACTATCTTTCAAGTGTGTTTTTGCACCATTGCGGCTTCGCCCTATGTTCCATCTCGGACCCAAACCAAACCACGGAAATCTATCACAAGCGATTCAATCTCTCGCTCCCGCATATCAGTGCTAGGTCGGAGAAGTGCCACTGCTGGCAGCTGGATTGGCCCACATCGTGCCAAGAGTCCCTTCGTCAAAGCACCGGTGCTGTGCGCGGCCAATGCAAGCTGCTTTGGCTCGGACGGTAGCTGCAAGGCCACACCTGAGTACTTGTTGGAGCCAATCTCGTCTGCGTCCGGCTGCGTAGACGAGATGCAATCGCAGGCGGCCAACTTGGAGACTATGTCCACGTGCGACAGGAACAGGCTTCCGTCCTGTGATGAAAACTCTTCCTTTCGACATGGCCAATAACATCACCAAACCTGCTCCATGCTGCTGCTCGCCCAGCGCAGCGCATATGTCCGCACGAGCTCCATGTGTTCCCAACAGTTTTGCTTAGGACCTGCAGCAACCAGACGTCGAAAACACAAAGCTTCAGCTATTCCGATCTATGTTGATGTGGAAAGACGGCTTTCTTTGGCAACTGGGAGAGGGTCCATGCTTGCACCACCGGGTACGGTTGACTGCGGGAAAGCGGGTCATGACCCTGCATGTACTGAGACTTTGACTTGCATGTGCATCAGTGGTCGTGAGGCATGCTGCGGGGTTGCAGGAGAAACTGGTCCACGGCCTACTCGGTTGAACTTGCTTGTAACAGTGTGGGTGTGAGACGGCTGTTGTGATCATTCTGCTGAATCTGTGAAGCCCTGATGGCAGCGGACAAACGCTTTGTTGGCCTCTGAAGCTGCATGCTGCTGCGCAGGCCAGCAAGACCTCTTGCCTCCTCGACCGACACTCCTTCTTGAAGCGCCTCTCACAGCCAAAGCTTCCGCGATGCAACGTGCAAGAAGCTAGCTGCAGGTTTTGCCCACGGAAAAAGAACAGCAGATGAATGGATTCTCTCTCTCTCTCTCTCTCTCTCGCTCTCGAGGTTCGGGCAAAAACCAGCGCTACGGACATGCCCCGCAAGCTAAACAAAGAAAGGCCTTCTCAGCTGCAGCCCTGGCCAGAGCATGAGCAGCTACTTCCGCAACCACGGGCTCTGAAACCTCGGGCACTTTCTCTTCTAAGCTTCCAGGGGAGGACATCAACCCATACACATGTATATACATATATACACACGAGTAAGGCCGTTTGTGTATATATGCGTGTGTGTGTGTGTTTTTATGTTTGTGTGCATGTATTTGTATACACGTATATATATATATATATCTACATACCTACATACATACATTCAGACAGACAGACAGACAGACATACATACGTACATACATACATACATACATACATACATATATGCATGTATGCATGCATGCATACATACATACATACATACATACATACCTGTGTATATATATATGTATATGTATATGTGTGTGCATATGTTCTCTCTATCCAGCTGTCTGTCCATGCATCTATCCAGCTATGCAGCTTTGCAGCACATCAAGGTACATTTGGAACACTTTTGCAGTACTCGTCTGGCCAAACAACGGCATGGCAACCCACTGTTCATGGCCAATGTGGCAGAGGTGGGGCGTAGGAGACACGGTGGATCCAAGAGATAGCCCTGTAGATCCGCGTGCTCACAGAGCGAATTAAACATCCTTCGTCGCATTGCGATCTCCAGCGATGGTTGCAAGTTCTCGTTTACATGGCCGGGCCTTTTTGGCTTGACGGCCAAGGGTGACACACTCCTCTCCATGGTCCTGTCGGCTTTCGCCGGAGTTGACCGTGGGAGGCTTGTTCCCTTTAACAAATTGCTGTGATGTCTTTTTATGCACGTAATCTATGATTCGCAATATGGTCGTACTGAATAATTAGTTACAATTCGTTTCTGTGTTCACCAACAATAGCTTCACAAGTGTCTAACACACTGCGCAGTCGACAGCCGCCTAAATCAACCACATCATCCCAGCTGCTCGCTGGCTTCCTCTCCAGACTTCGAGCAAGCTTTTTGCTCATTCTGGCAGCACCAATCCTTTTTGCTGCCTGACCAGCCGACCTCCCAGTTATCATAGCCATTGTTGCAGTCATACCTCATCACCCCCCAAGCGATGCAACACCCTTTGCATATTGCAGTCTTTGACTGACGCATGCTTAGCATACTTGCTGCATTCAGGTTTCTTGGTAGTGTCCGAATCGTCGCAGCCACGATCGTGATGGAAGCAGCACCACACCTTCTTTGCCTGCGTTCACATGGGACTCGACATCTAAACTCCAAAAATGCCTCTCCAGCCCAGGGCAACCCCGATATTCCCTTTCACTGAATTCCCACCTGAGACCAGCCGTGAAGCCAGTTCTCATAGCCTGCATCACAATTGTAGCGTGCCCCCGGTCTGTCCGGGCATGCCACCGCAGCATGATAACCTCGCTTTGATTGCAAGCTCATTGTTGCTACAAGTGCTTCACATGGGAGCCCCGCAGTAGAATGTAGAACAAGTGTAGGCAAGTTGCAGCACCACGCCTTCTGTTCGGCTGGCCAGCTATCCGAATAGCCCGTCGTGCAGTCCTTCGTTGCGATGCCCGATTCAGCTATCTTTGGTGCAAAGACAACACGGAAATTGAAAGCCTCGCAGCCAAATGGACTGCACCAGGAGCTTTCGGGTATACTTACATCCATGGACCATGGACATAGATAGGTAGGTAGAGCGATAGACGGATGGATGGATGGATGGACAGGAAGCCGTGCAGAAGAACAGAAGGGTAGGCACATGGACGGGCGTGACATACAGATAGATAGGTAGGCAGGTGGTAGATATGCACATGCGCGCACACAGACACACATGCACAATCTGTGTACATCTGTATGTGCATCAGCGTGATTAGTACAATAAACATGTAGTCATAAAGCATACAAAAACGTTGCAGATGGCATATGCAAACGCAAAGTGGTTTGCCTGCCAAGTCTCGTAAAGCGGCTTGCTGGAATGGCCAACCTTCAGAAGCAACTACGCAATGCTTAACACTGTTTGGACTGTTTGGTTTCGGTTCAAGCGAGCCCATTTCACGTGTTCCGTCTGGGCGAGCACTTGAGCTGTCATGACTGTAGTTGGTCTTGGTTGGACCAGCTGCAGTCGCATTGCATGCATGTCGCGCCTATACCACGATGTCGTGTCAGCCGTGTGTTCAGCATCGTGCAGCTACGTTTCGATACTTGACCACTTGCTCGCTTCATGGAGGCTTCTTGTAGTTGAAAGCTGCAGACAAGAGAGTTGATTTTGGGCTGTGAAAGGTCGTGGCATTGCATGCTGTGCATCATCCTTGATGAAGCATGTTGTTTTCATGGTGGCTCGGCACTCCGCTTCATTCCGTGCGGACAGCTCCCTGGAACGTGAAGGCCAGGTGAGAGGTCTCGGCTCTGCGGTGTTTCTCCGATCCCGTCCTCGTACTGCGATGGGCATCCGCGGGCGTAGTGCATGCAACACCACAGCTGCCTCCTTGGCGAATTCTAACCTGCCCACTAGTAGGTGTGCTGCAACTCTGCAGCATTCGTTTCAAGCCAAGGTTCCGATAAGACCATGCAGACGTCCTTGGCTCAAGCCAGAATCGGAACATATCGGAATTCCTTCGATGCAGCCCTTTTCCACAGGCTTGAACTGAGCTCGCCCGGCCAGATCCCTCGCAGCACATCGCACTGAAGTCCGAACTTGATCCTGCAAATGAGACTCCCTCTGCCCGGGCTGATCTCACAGTCATAGGCGTCACTGTGCAAGGACGCCCTGCAGCCAATGCCTTGGTAAGCCACTCGGCTGCAAGATGTGAAGGAGACCAGGTTGTTGGCCGTACTGGTGTAACTGATTTTGCGGCTGAAGCCACCGTGATTTTCGCAACACCAGTTCTGCTTGCCTTGTGGGACTTGACACACAGGCCATTCATTGCGAATGTGTGGTTGGTGACAGCTCAGCCGAGCCGCGCAGAGTCCAGGCACTGTGCCTCATTGCGTGTTGCGACTATCAGAAAAAGCTCGCGGAAGAACGGGTACCATCACAGCACACGATTTTATGTCACCGATCGGCTGGCACTCTGTGTTCCTATAATTTAATTATTCGATTCAAGCTTCCAGTACAATACGTCCGCATAGCAGTCTTGATCGTCTGATTGGGGTCTTGACGAAATCCCGGCAAAATTCGACGCCTGCTTGCACTCAAATCACGAAAGGTTGCTGTGCATGTGCGATTGTTGAGTCTTCACGTCTCATGGGCCCAAATCAGGCAGCAGCCCCACCTGTGGAACCACGGTGGACTTGGGAGTCGTTGTTGGACATCCAAGCACGTAGTGTTCACAGCACCAGGCCCTGTCTCTAACAGAGCGCTCTATGCAAGCCGTGAAAAATGCCGCGGTGCACCAGCAGGCTATCCTCGTTGCGCAATCAGCCAAGCAGCTTCTTGGCATGACTCCAGTATTTCTCTTGTTGGTGATTGCAATCGTAGGGAACATTGATCTGTAGTGGTCTCGGTGTTGCCTGGAGGCGGTGCTTCTGTGCTGGTGACCACTGCAGCTCCCGAACCCTCGCCCAGTTAGAAACCAAGCGACCAGAGAGTCTGCGGAGACTTCCGAAGTTCCGGCCAGCAGAACTGCGAGCCAGATACCGGCCTGAGACAGAAGCCATGTAGCGCTTGCTCGGGCCATGCTCCGCAGAAATCTTCAAACATCGGAATGCTGATGGGAAAGCAGGTCCAAGGTCTGGCCAGCTCTGTCCCTGATGCTGAGGCAAGCAGAAGGACGAAGCCGTTGCCACCCTAAGAACCAAGCCAAACCGAAGCCTTCCAAAAAGGAGGGCTTCCGTAGTAGTAGTCGTCATCAAAGTGGTAGTGGTAGTGGTAGTGGAGTGGCCCCGTGGTCGTCGTCGTCGTCGTCGTATAGTAGCAGTGATCGTGGTAGTGCAAGTGGTGGTAGCAGTGGTGGTGGTAGTAGTTGCAGCGGTAGAAGTGGCAGTAGATAGTACACAGTAGAGGGTAGATGCTACTAGATAGTGTCTAGTAGACAGTGGATAGTAGCTTGTAGAAGTAGAAGTAGAGGTGGTAGTGGTGGTGGTGGTGGTAGTAGTAGTAGTAGTACTAGTACAGTGTGTAGTAGCAGTACTAGTACTGGTACAGTGTGCCGGGAATCTAGAGCAAGTGTCTTTCAAAATGGCGAAGCAATCTTCAATCTTGGTCTGACATGTAAACTAGTCGGCGTGCAAGTAGGGCAAGTGGCGCAAATGATCAAGTTGACCAAGATTGCATTATTACCAAGATTTTCTTAAACAATAATTAGTTTTCTAAATTCCCGGCACCTAGTACTAGTAGAAGTAGTAGTAGTAGTAGTAGTAGTAGTAATCGTCGTCGTCGTAGTAGTAGTAGTAGTCGTCGTCGTCGTGGTAGTAGTAGTAGGAGGAGGAGGAGTCAGGAGTACTGGGAGGAGGAGGAGGAGCAGCAGCAAGAGCAGTGGGAGGTAGTCGTAGTGATAATGTGAAAAGCCCTAGGCCTGACCTATCTGCAAGTTGTTGTGACAACCTTTCTCCAGCAACAGTCTTGCTGGCATGCGAGCGGCGAAGAGGACCAGTATGAGCGCACAGCAGAGAATGGCTTTTCCGTATTTTGCCAGAAATGACGTCTGTCCGTCCTCGGCATTTCGGCGGGATGCCATCGTGAAGCCTTGCTGCTCAGCCACTTGCTTTATTGCGTTGTGCGCGTGCCGTCCTCGGTGGAATGGGCCACGAAAACAGCTGCCAGATTTGGGTTCTGCTTCTGGACATACCTCGGCCAGAACCAACCATGCATTGCATGGCAAACACTAACAGGACTCTCGAATTCGTAGCCACGCATGTCTCCTCGTTATGTTAAGTAGGCACATGACAAACACACCGGCAAGATCAAGCCAAGAAGAGGCACAGCAAGGTAGACCGGGCATCATTCTGATCTTCGGATGTCTGCTGAACGCAGCTCAGGTAGCCTCCATGCCCTTGGCCGACGATGCTTCTTGCTTTCGTATCATCAGCCGTCTTCCGTCTACAGCCAGGCATGCCTGTGAACCTTCAATCTGGCTAGTATATGCTTCCAGGAGTCCATCCAACGCCCTTAGCATGAAGCCGCCTGCGCAAATTTCCTCCACGAATTGGGTGCCGTGGCTCTTGTCCTTGTGGACCTTCATTGGGCTCTGCTTTTACTGGGCGCTCGCGCGTAGAGCGGATCTGCAATGTGCCAGGAGTTGCAGACCGAGAGCATGGCATATGCGTACGTGGAGTGAGCGTCTCGTCTGTCCAACTCTATTCGCCTCCGTCGCTGCAGACTGGTGCGGCCCACAGGTGACTTCCTAATGAGTGCTTCCAAGTGGCTCTGTGCTGGCCAAGTAACCTGTGTCTTGCACTGTGGGAATGGTGAGTTTGAGAGCTGGGTACTGAGCAAATGCACAACTGATGCACACCCTGCAGGCCTGCATAAGTCTTGCTACGCTCCCTCGGGCATGGAGATCTTTAACGATGCTGCTAAGAAGCCCAAATTCGTCTTCTTGGAATCTTTCGCCAAGGGCTTCTCGACGGCCTTCAAAATGAAGTTGCTGCCATAGGGCACCTTGAGGAAGGTCACGTGCTCAGAGTGGTAGTAGTCGTCATGCACATACCTATCGGCGTGTGTGCATTCGCAGCAATCGCGCACGGACAGTATGGTCCGAGCCCTCCTTAGCTTTCTTCAGCTCTCCCACATCACTGTCATGGCCAGGGTGCATCCAGGAAGAATCTGTATCTCGATTCATTGCCTGTTCAGCTCTGTGTACAGCTCTGCTTCTCGAACCAACTGTCTTGGGCTCCGGCGGAGGAGCAGGACACGTATCCCGTTTGCACGGAGATGCCACCGGCCAAGGAGGACCAAAGCGTGTTGGGGTCACCGCCTTAGGCGCGTTCGAGAAGAACTGCCCGCAACTATCTGGCACATAGTTGCAGCTATATATATATATACATACATACATACACACACACATATATATATATATACACATGTACACACATATAAAACATCGCAGAATATCATTAAATAAACGACAAGTCTTTAAACAAAAAAGTGCGCACACACACACACACGTTCATAGATCTATGTGGAAATACGTGAGCTTTGAATCCAAGCGGCGTGAGCCCACCACTCTGAGCCAGAAGGGGACTTTCACACTTAAGCTTGCAGAGGATCCTTGAGACCCTTCTGCCTGACAAGGTGTCGAGATGCTCTCAGATGCTCTTTTCTAAGGGGCTCCTTGAAGGGTTTTCTTTTTTTAAGGGATCTGCACGGGTTCTGTGTGGGGTTTACGGGCTTTTTCCACACGCCAGCAATGAAAGTTCTTTAGGGTCCCTAAACCCTAAGCAGGGAGTTTGCTTTTGGCTTGCTTGTGGCCTCGGAAGCCCAGGTGTTGTGCTTGGCGGCCTTTTGCGTCTGCCACACGATGACGCTGGCACCGTTGTGAATCCGCGCGTCCCTGACGTTCAAATCGAAGCTGGGATTGTCGGCGAGCCTTGGCCGGCAAATCCCAAAGCACAACACTACTAGTATCTATCCATCTGTTTATCTATAGGGCGCATGTGTATTTATGTATATACATATGTATGTATGTATATACATACATATATATATATACACATACACACACATACATACATACATACATACATGCATACATACATACATATAGATAGACAGTTAGATAGATAGCGATTGTGTGTGTCCATATATATGATAAATATTGTACGGTCACACATGATATGATATGAGCTGTATGTGTATACACACTAGTACACTACACATTAACTCCGTCTATAACAGACGGTGTCTGGTGGTTTTGCTTGTGAGTCCCAGGGGCGTCAGCATCCCGCTGCCGTCCCACCGCCACTGGTTGAAGGGCTCCGGCTTTCCACTATGTCTTTTCAGGACGACTTGGCTGCCATTCTGCAGCGGCCCGTCGACAGATAAAGCCATATCAGGTGATGAAGCGAAAAGGATCAAGCCGTCAGGACGCACAATCCAGTCATGACCTCGAGCTCGCAAGCAGACTGACCGCACAGTCTATCGCGACGCGAGAGAAAAAAACATTGCCCTGTGTGAAGCTTATTCGTGCAGCTGTGGAGCCATGATGCACGCCTCCGGTCTCGAGTATAACGACCTGATCGGTGCAACTTGGCGTTCCCTTTTCAGCTAAAGGGGGAGAGGCGCACCTGCTGCCCCTGTACCGACAAGGAGTACTGCGGAGACCTTGGCTGCGCGGAAATCGAGTGCATGGTGAAGCCAGATACACTAGCACACACGATACTTGAGCCGACGGAAATGACTTGATAGTATAGCATGCTATCGTATTGTATCATACAACGCAGCGACTGGAATCGACTGCGACAAGCGACTGTGCGAGCCAGATCGGGTGTGCCTCCTGCCCCAGTGCATTGCTCACGCCCTCCTGACCTCTGTAAATTTGGAAAGGGAGAGGGCAGATTGCCACCGAGCCGGGTCCTTCGATCCTGATCCGATGAGTTCTTGAGCTCCTGCCAGTGGCACAAGATTGAGGCACTGTGCATCAGAACATGCTCCTGCACGCAAAGCTTGCAACATCCCGTGGCCTTTGAGTACTCCAGAGTACCAGCTATCACCAGAGCCTCCGGCCAAGCGAATTCTATCAACGCCTCGCATGCATGGTACCCCGAAAAGATGAGGGCCCCGAAAGGGGACCGAAATTCAGAGAACCCCTGCATATGCCTGTCATCGGCGAGTAGAACCAAGCCATAGCGGATCATCCCTCAGGTCTCTTGAAGCAGTGACAACCGCACAGCAAGACAGGTACCCTATGGTACCCTTGAGAGGATCACTGACTCCTTGAGGGCACTTTCAAAAAAGGCTTCAGCTGTCGTCTTATTATTAGTATTATTTTTAATACTATTATTATTGTTTTTTCTATGAATAATATTATTAGTATTATGATTATTAGTATTATTAGTATTCCTGGATTCCATTCATCTCGCCAAGGCGCGACTTCCGGCCGGCACGGCCAGAACAACTGCGCCGCAAGCTTTGAGCCAAGTGGCATTCAGCAAAATATCAGCCCTTACGGTTAGGGGTTAGGGTTTTAGGGTTTAGGGTTTAGGGTTTAGGGCCAAAATGCACTGTGTCATATGGTGGGCTTATACTGTATTCAAGTAAAAAATATATATATATATATATTATGCTATATTATATGTGTCATATGGTAGTTTCCCAGAAGAAGGGTACCTTAAATTGGGGTCCTGAAATATAAGGATCCTATTTATTTGGGGTACTATATTAGGGTCCCCTGTTTTCGGAAACCCCCATCTCTCGTGCACTGCTGCTTCTCCATAGATTATACTATATTATACTATATTATATCATACGATATTACACTATATTGCATTTATATTGTCTTGTATTCTCCATGGGGTCTCAGCTTCTGACCCCAGCACCGCGGGCGGCTTCCTGCACCAAGCCAGCAGCGGCCGGTAGTGATGCCTCGGTCATCTTCTACGCCCTTAATTTAAAAGGATATACATTAAATCATCATATTCTAAACCCTTAATTTAAAAGGATATACATGAAATCATCATACTAAGGCCTCTATAGTTTAAGGTATATATACCTATCGAAACGGTGCAAGTCGACAGCATATTTCGTGGCGCAAGCAACTCGGCCCGCTGCAGCCACAGCCAGTCTGGCCATAGCCTCTGCTGCTGCTTCGGAAGCCACTCTGCCGTGGGATCTCCTCAACATTGGGCGCACTGGTGCTTGCTTTTCGAACGTCTTTTTTTGATGTCGGTCTCGATACAACTTGGACGTTACCTGACTGTGCTCGCACAACTAGAACAGGCATGGACAAAGATGCAAATGCGCTTTGATATAGGTCTGCTGCCCGCCAGCTGCTGCGATTGCCTGACAGAGCGTAACCGAAAACAGTCCAGCCTGTGCTCTTGTTGCTGCTCATGTATGCTAGTTCTGCGAAAATTGTGATCAGCACGTGATGGGAGTGCGCATTCTGTCTGTTCATTGCGTTTCTGCGGCATGTCCAGTTCCAAGCCTAAGGCCTATGTCTGCGAAGCCCAAGAGCTGCTCTCACTGCAGAGCCGTTGACAACAGGGACGCACCGGCTGCAGCTGCGGCCGCTGCACATTACATCGTCGGCGAGCAAACGAGGCAAAAATTGAGGTAAGCTTCCCGTCATAGGCACTTGAAAGATGGATGGGGAACATCTAGAACATACCAAGGTGTGAAACACTGTTCTTTATCGACCTTTAAATCTCTGGCAGCATTTTCCGGTTCTCTCTGGCCCGCTTCCATCTTCCATGACGAAAACCGGCATAGTTTGGCATTCAGAATATATAAGACACGTTCATAGTCATTGCTTACCAAGAGCAGAATAGAATAAATTCTTCAGACATCCATAAAAGCCGTTTAATTTAAACATACATTATGCTCAACTCTAATTCCCGCAAGACTAGTTCCAACACGACTGAACCGAACACATACAGTAATATCAGCACTTCACAGCTAGTACGCGCCTGATGGTAGGTTCAGTTGCGAAAGCTCGGAACCATAGTCAGAACCCAAACATCTGCATGCTTGTGGAGGCACTATGACCGTGACATGCCTGCTGGCCGACTTTGCTGGCTGATGCACCGAGCCGTGCCGATCGCTGGGCCATGGCAGCTGCCTCTGCACAACAGACTAGCCAAAGGCAATGGTTGCACCGAAAATAGATGCAGAACTTACGGACTGAGGGCCGTACCGCAACTTGAGCCAGCAGATGGTCCGCATCTTGTTTGGCAATTCCTCTCTTTCACATTGTGCCGATGCTGTCATGCGACAATAGGTCCCGTCCTGAGCCTTCCAGCGCGTCCTGAGCAGCCAGCCGCCTGAACAGAAGCCGTGTAGCTTTCGCGTATTGTTCGACTCACACACTCGCTCAAAGCAGGCATGGCAGGTTACATCCCGTTTCATTTCCCCCATGTAAATGCTTGCGGGAGCGACTTCTCTGCATGGAACCGTTCCCGCCAGTGACTACAAGGATCCGAGCAGAGTGTGAGCGACCAGGGGGTACGGGAGTACTGACTTTAGCTAAAGTGAATCCCCAGTTAGACGCTTGATTTTATTGGAACGCATCGACTTTCCCTGTCGACAGTACTGAGTATACGAAGTATGAATATAGATTATATAGATAGAGCCGACAGATAGGGGTCATAAACTGCCTTGAACGCTGAAAAGTAACGCTTTCCGATTTTTGTTGTTCCCGAGTGTCTGGTCTTAAAAGCACTGCCCGGTTCAGACTTCCACGGTTCACAGTACTTATTGCGACTTGGCAGCGACGACGATGACTACCATCAGCACCACTACTCCTCCTGCTGCCACAGTCACTCCTACCAGTGCAGGCGAACTCTTCCACCGTGCCAACACGACCACTACCACTGCCCCGCGTGCTGCTGCTGATCCTCCTGTCACGATTAATTGCTACTCATGCTTCGACGAGGACGAGTTCTACTCGCCATTCTCATTCTGAGCTCCCTGCACGTCTAGAGGCCCAGCCCCATCTGCTGCCTTCAGCATTGCTCAATCGCGACTGCAGCGAAGGCACAGGCACTAGATCAATCTTTTCGAACCAGCGCATATGGATAGAACAAAATCTAAACAATATGTTGCAAGAGCAGTGGCACAGAATCATGTAGGGGTATGTTGTGAAGCACACCAACATGTGCGACAACATGTTGTTACACGGAATGTCATATATGTACCTGTACAGATTTTTAGCACTCGCTCTCGAAGCTCAGGCGAGGGTTGAGGAGGAGGCAACTAGTCACGGACGGCTCTTTCCGAGCTGACCCAGGCAAATATTGGTACAGCTACAGACCAGCAGGGTTTGCACAACAAGATGCAAGAAGGCAATACTAATACGACCGGCAATAACACACGTTACAACATCGCAGGCCAACGGCAATGTTTATAGCGGTATACGCCGGCGTTCTCTGAGCCGTAGACTTGGAGGAAGAGGGCGAGGAGGGGTGTAGTAGTAGTGGTGATGGTGGTAGTAGTAGTAGTAGTAGTAATAATAATGATAATAATAGTAATAGTAGTGAAAGTAACAGCATAGTGTCGTATCAGTAATAGTAGTGAAAGTATTAGCATAATGCCGTACTAGTATCGTAGTAGCAGTGATAATAGTAGTAGTGGCCAGCAGTAGCAGCAGAAGTAGTAGCAGTAGCGGTGGTGGTAGTAGTAGTAGTCGTGGTGGTGGTGGTGGTGGTGGTGGTGGTAGTAGTAGTAGTAGTAGTAGTAGTAATACTGACGACTACGACGACGACGACGACTACTACTTAGCAAACCGCAGTATCTGCAGCAGCAGTGGCAGCAGTGGAGTGAAAGAAGGAGGAAAAGGAGAAGCTGGCAGTAGTGTAGTAGCAGCAGCTGTAGCAGTACCACTAGCAGCAGCAGTAGTACTGGTGGTGGTGGTGGTGGTGGTTTTAGTAGTAGGATTTCAGGATTTCCAATTTGACGGAAGTCTTACAGTTATCGTATGACTTACCACAGGTTCCGATAGAAAAGGAGTAAGCATATCCACACACATTACACACATACATCCATTACCCATCTATCCACCCATCCATCCATCCATCCATCCGTCAGACCTGCTTGCATACATACATGTATAGTATACATCAACACACAACACCTACAGTACCTACATTTCCATGCACATATAGCCAGGCTAGCGAACACAAGAATGCACTACTTGTGCTACTGCTCTGCCGCTGCTGCTGCCTCTACAACTACTTGCCACCGCTGGCCATGCTACTTACAAAACAAGGCTTCAAGGGTCAAGAGAGAATAGAGGGGCTTGCAACAAGAATATGCGTCTGGCGGCGTAATGCGCGACTGTCTGAATACAGCGCTACATAGCACTGACAAAACATAAAGCCGAAACAGGCATGAACACGAACTTCTTAATCAGAAAGTTTTGCAAACATCGAGTCTTGGATCGTGCAGGCTCCAAGGCGCAGGCTGCATGGCTAGCGGCTGCATTCGCTGCGATTTTCGCCGCTATTTTGGAGCTTTTCTCCTTTCCAACGCCTGCTAACATCAAAACGTCATGAGCAATGCAAGCACTCGAAGTCCACTGAACCGCCCATCCCGCTCCGACTCCCAAGACGATGGCCTGAAACGAGAACTGCAGCCTGGACTTTGCGGCCTGCGAGCAGACATCCCACGACCAAGAAGCTGCTTGCGGTGGCATATGCCAAACCCAAATCTTTGCCCAAGTGTACCTGCAAAGGCTCCCCTCTGCTCAGTCCGGGGCTCATCCACGCCGGGCTCAACCCAGAGCCCAGGCTCTGCTCTGCAACCTTGCTTTTCAAGCGCTTTATCAACTGCACATGGACGAAGATCTAATGCGTATGCGCACAGACACCGGCATCTGTGCAAACGCACACATACATAAATAAATGCACATGTTCATATTTACATATATGTGTACCTACATATGCTTTACAAACATTCCTTTTGGTATACACTATTTATGCACATAGCTATGTGCAAAATCCACGTACGTATATACATGTACAGAGCCGGTTTGGAGAAGGCCACTTTTCCGCAAAGACAGCGCTGTTGCTCAGCAGTTCCTTCGACGCATTTAAAGATCAAGTGGGCTCTACCTGACTGTCTTGCAGTCGCGCTGGTGACATTCGACTTGTGGTGTCTGCCATCATGGCTGCATGGCATAAAGAAATCAAAATCAGTCATTTCCGAAGTTCCCAAAGTCCCTCTCGAGATCCCAGGGGGCCCGGCTTCTGCTCCAGATGCTGCAGCAACGAGGTCAGCGGCTACTGACAATGGCCTGAGGCTGCGGATAGGAGGTTTTCCACCGATTGGGAATTGTGGCCACTAGATTGTATTGACAGTCTCTGCACTCGTGGTGGCGGCCGAAGACAACTCGTCGTGGCAGTGGAGTAGTCGTCGTCGCAGAAGTAGCAATACCAGTGGTGGTAGTGGTGGTGCTCAGTAGCAGTAGCAGCAGCATCAGCAGTAGCGTTGATTTCTGTCCTCCAGTGGCAGTAGCAGCAGCAGCAGCAGCAGTAGTAGTAGTAGTAGTAGCTGGAGTAGTAGTAGTAGTAGTAGTAGTAGTAGCAGCAGCAGGAGCAGTAGTAGTAGTAGTAGTAGTAGCAGCAGCAGCAGCAGCAGCAGCAAGAGCAGGAGCATCAGTGGCAGTAGCAGCAGCAGCAGCAGCAGCAGTAGCTGTAGCAGTAGTCGTGATGCATACACACAAACACGATCATGCAAGCAAACGCGCAAGTGTACTCCACACTTGTGCTTGCGCACGTACGTATACTATGTATCTATGGATGTATGCGTTATATTGTGCCATGCGGGTGCAAAGGTGCGTTTGAGCAAGCAAGGGGACATTATCATATGTGATTCTGTATGTGCCATGCGCGCACATGAAAGAAACATTGGAACGTGTGTCTGTCAATGTCGCAAGGTGGTGAGATGCAGCTCATGGTGTGCTTGGGCGTTGGCACTCGGGTTGCCAGGGTCGCTGCCTGGCAGTCACGAGATTCAGATGAGGCCGTGTCCTTCCTTCTACTTTGGACTTGTACACGACAGAAGCAGACAGCACGAACTCAAGGCAGCATAATGAACGGCTCGAGCAATCGCGCCATCCATGAAGATACGCCCGTTTCAGCGGTGGGACGCTCCCGCGGTGATACAATGTCACGAGCACAGTGTGCAACACAGCGGCAAACTTCAATGCCAAAGCGTGTGCATTGCCACAGCGAGGCCTTGACCATCGCGACTTGCTGCGAAGACCGTTCGGTGGATAGCTCGTACGACTCCGAAGCTGCTCGGGAAACCTCACGAAAGCACCCTTCTGGCGCCATCTGCCCGAGACCTGATATGTAATCTCCAGGCTACGGGCAGCTTCCGCCGCAAGGCGCGTGGCTTCCACCACCTCTTCATGTAGTCTCTGACAGATCAACATGGCAACAGCACGTGGGAGGCTGCGAAGGGATCTTGAGTTTAGAGATGTTGAGAAGCAGCTCACAGTGGAGCCTCGACTCCAGACGACTGCGCTGCCATGGTGGCAAAACGACCCACCTCATGCAGTAACTCAACAAAGACAAGTCAGGGTCAAGTGTCTTGACGGCATTGCATTCCAGCTCTGGCCACTGCTACGATCACGTCCCTATCCCATCCTATCCCCATCACCCTGGCCACAGCTTTGCACGTCGGTGCCGGCCTGCTCTGGGGACCTGCAGTACAAAGGCCGTGCACAGGGATTTTCCCTTTGTTGGCATTTTGTCAGACATGAATGGCGTGTCCACTCAGACCTAGCAAGCTCACGTTGGAGCGCAAGCGACGGTAAGGGTCGGGCTCGTTCCCAGCAATGGCAACCTGCCAGCACAATTTCTTGGCAAAGTGGCTTCGGCATTGTTCTTGTTCCTTGAAAGCTCCTAATTCAACCCGTGGCACCTTCGCAGCACACAAAGCTGCAGCACGTGCTGCTTCGCGAGCCTTGCATGGTCTCCAACACAAGACAGCTGCAAGTTACTGCAGACTGTAGGGCCATGATCATACCATCGTCTTTTGGGCAGTTGCAAGGCCCCCTTGAAGACACGGAGACCTTTCTCCATTGCCAGAAGCAGTTGGCATGCGAGCTCTATGGCCTTTGCCAGCAGACAGACGAAACGAGATGCAAAGCAAGAGCTCGACTAGCTCATCACCACATCACCTTAATTATATGCAGAATATGTGTGCAAAACTTCACCGTGGCTTTGAGATTGCATCTTCCATCGACAACATGGCGGCCGCTCACTCTGAAGTCCACAGCAAAGAGGAGGAGGCATGCTGTCCTTCCAGCAATTATGCAGAAGGGCCAGTCCATCAGCTTCCATTCAACCACATCTCACTTACACTAATTGCACTTTTTCGCCGCGTCTGCGAACATTGTCGGGGACATTGCTCGCATGCAAGCACGGGCTGTTCGCTACAAACGCCGTGCCTCTACTTGTTGATCATCCATCTTCCGAATTCCCACAGACGCATCTTGGGAGAGCTTGTGCAGAGGCAAAGCACTCCCAGGCCCGAGCCTGCAACCCAAGAACTGGCTGTGGCAGTGAGACAGTAGGGTTTGTCTAAGCTCTTCTAACGTTTCCAGCTCGATGAGAGCCGCATACGCCGGAATAAGTCAAGCTCACAGTCCCTTACAGCTTTGATTGCCCCTCTTTGCTTCTGGACATGATGAACTTCTTCATCCTATCAAAGAGCTCCTTTCCCATGGCTTTGTAATACTTGAAGGCCACCTCTTGCTCGTTTGCACAACCATCCTTGAAGCTCATGCCATACCCATCATCAATGGTCCGCTTCAGCATCTGAAGCATATTGGGGTTCATCTTCGTCATCTCGGTTGCTAGGGCCAGGCAGTGCGGCATCAGCTTGTCTGCGGGAACTACAGAGTTCACCAGTCCCCAGGAAACGGCCTCCTGAGCTTTGAGGAACCGACCAGTGAAGTGTAGCTCTTTAGCTCTGCTGGGCCCCATGACTCGCGTCAGCTTCTGGCTCAAGCCCCAGGCTGGAGCAATGCCGAATTTGGCGTGGGTATCTGCAAAGCTTGCATTTTCACTTGCTATCAGGATGTCGCAAGCCAGTGCCAGTTCAAAACCTCCTGTTATCGCAAAGCCATTCACGGCGCAGATCACTGGCCAGGGAAATGTCTCGATCTGCACTCGCGGATCCTGTTCCTTCGGGGTCGGAAAGTAGCCGGTGAAGATCCCATCTGCCTTCATCAGATCAATGCCTGCAGAAAAAGCCTTTTGGCCGGAGCCTGTAAGTATGACAGCTCGAACCTTGCTGTCGCTTCGAAGGCTCAGAAACACAGAGGCTATGTCGTTCAGCATGTCCATGGTCAAGGCATTCTGAGCTTCAGGGCGATTGAGGGTGATGATGTGAACGGCACCATCGGCCTCCAACGAAGTAGGAATCAAGCAACAAGCAACTTTCATGCACACACACATGCATACACACATTCATGCATAGATACATACATTTGTACACAAGCTTTGTAGAAGTGTGCAAAAATCAACCTCATCGACTAGCTGCTAAACGCACCCAGCGGCCTCCGTCGTATGCGAGATGAAGGAAGAAGTGGACATGGCTCTGAACGGCTCTGATGCCTATATCGCTGCTGATCCCTCAATCCGCACAGCCAACTGAACAAGCAAACCAAATTGGGGCATGCACGCGATACGCATGCAAATGGGGCGCAAATGCAAGAGTCAGGCCTACCGATAAACGATGACAGCTGGCTGCAGCTCTGGTCCGCAACTCGTCTGTCCTCAGCGTTGTCGTCTTCGAGGTGCACCAGGCCCGAAGAAGCCTTCCAAAAGTCTACGGGATGTCCGGTGGCCAGACCGTGCATACTGAAGGAAAAACGCATGCCGAAAGTGCCATGCCTTTTTGCCCAAGCTAGAAGCAATGATCATTGAGCATGCTGGACATGCCATATTTGCTGCCAAGTAGCATGGGCCAGCCGAGTAGCCATGGCAGCCATCCGTGCATCTACAGGAGTCTATAAATTATATTATCTATTATATATTACATATTTTTTAGTATATATTATCTATTATATTTTTTATTATATATTATTTATTATATGTTATATATTATATATTATATACCATATATTCTATATTATATATTATTACTGGACACTTGGCTTTCAGCCCGGGGGCCGGCGGTTCGTCGCATGTCACAGAGAGCAAGGCCTCTGAGGTCTTGGCCGCTTCTTGCTCATGAGCTCCGAGAGTCCGAAGTGCTCTCAGGAGCTCTTTGACTAAGTCCATGGGGGCCGTGCCTCGTCTCGGTTTTTTTTTTTGCGGTCCTCGGCCTCTCCGGCCTCCTCTTTCTGCCAAGACTCTCCCACCACCATCCAGGGCAATCTTGCCGAAGGTGTCTACCTGCTCCAAATAATTCATTTAGATATATATGTATACTGATAATAGTAATACAGTATATGTTATTACTTACGTTATTGTATATGTTGTACCATATGTCACGTGTCATACATTCATACAGCAGTACATTATAATTCTTGATATATTGAATTACAGTGTGCTGGGAAACTGGAGCCACTAACCTGTGCAAAATTGCCGGTCATCTTGGTCACCTTGCCCAACTTGCCCCAACCCTAAATGGTGAACGAGTGGGGCAAGATTACCAAGAGGAGTTGGTAATCTTGACCCCGAAGATGACCAAGATGAGCAGGGTGACGACGAAGATGAGCAAGATTACCAAGAGAGCAAGACAACCAAGATTACCAGTCTCATTAGTGGGTCCAGATTCCCGGCACGATGTTATGTCATCTTATATTGTACTGTATTATTACATTATTATAGTATACTGTATTCTACTATACGACATTATGTTGTATTGTATTATGTTGGGTTAAATTACATCATGTCATAATGTATTATAACATATTACATTGCATTAAGTTGTGCTGGTGTACTGTATCGTCTTGCATCGCATTGTATTGTGGTATGTTGTGTTATATCATGTGATGTTATCGTATAATAATGTGTCATGTTGTGTCATGCTGTATTACATATACGCATGTACTTATGCATGTATGTATGTATATATATATATATACATATTCTTGGAATCCTGCTTGCAAGCCAAGCTGCAAGTGCCATGCTTGCATATCTCCGTTTCTGCCCTTCTTTCAAACCAGAACCTTCCACATGCGGTACCGAAATACTCGGTCCAGGGCAAGGGCAGCAGCAAAGACAGAAGGGTCAAGCGAAAAGTTCACACTTCCCGGCCTGTCAATGTCGCGAGGCTCAGTCTCGCCACCTCGCGGAAACATGTTATGAGGGACAGAATCTCCAAACGACATGTTCCAGAATCTCAAAACACCACTGATTCGGCTGCTGGAACGCCTCCTCTGGCGCTTGCTGCCGCTCGACTGCACGGGTGGCTGCGCGGAGAGTGGCTTCGCGTCTGGCGCTGATCAATATGCTTCACGATGGCCGCACCAGCAACAACCCGGAGCATCCGTGCGAGAGGTTTCTCAATTCGAGGATTCCAGCAACGCAAGCGAGCCAGCAGTAACGCGAAAATGGAGATTGCGAGCGGGGCACTGGCTGCATGTGCAGCTGTGGTGACCTAAGCTAAGTCACGCTGCGTCGAAACCGAGGAAGAAGATCCGCTCGGGGCTGTCCTGATCCCCTCAATTGCTGCAGCTTTTTGTGTCACGCAGAATGCAGCATTCTTGGAATTAGTCTTCGTTCTCCACCCCGTCGTTCTCGTCGATAGCTTCGTCGGCCGCCAAACATACCTGGCCGTGCACAACAGTCTTTTCCTTTGCCTCCTGCCAGAACCCCTACAAAGCCACACCAGCAGGGCACTCGCAAGAATGGGTACTTGCGAGCCTCAGTTCACGTCGTCTGCTACAGGAAACAGCTTCTCGGTCCATTCCGGCGTTTGCAAGCCAGCAGCCTTCTCTGCAGCCGGCGCTGAGCTTGAGTACGGGTAGCGCTCAAACTCGTAATGACATCGTCGGCATGCCCAGCAAGGACCCAAGAAGCCACAGACCTTTTCGAGAGATGTTTCTGTGACTTTCCGGACGAGTTCTGTCAGAATTTCAAGCTAATCCCAGCCTCTGTGAGAACCAGGGATCCTGCAGCAAGCGCGGAAGGCTTCGGGTGTCCACTGTCCGCGACAACTCCACTGCACTGAAGAGCATCATCTCAAGTGGCTACAATCAACACTTCTTTTCAACATCGGATCGTACCACCGCCTGTCAGCATTACCGTGACTGTTCCTTTTAGCAAAGCGTTGCGAAGTTTCCTCGACGATAATGGGCCGTGAGCGGCTCGCTCGGGAAGCCGTAGACGATTGGTACAATGGCGTTTGCTGAGCCGCCTGCAGCCCATATTGCGTTGCTCCAGCTGAGCTTTTTCACACTATGGCCCAGTCTTAAACTTGAACGTCCCACGAGCGGTGATACAGAGCCGCCGGCAATTCGGACAAATTTTGGCCAACTCCTCTCCACAGGAAGCAGTGCCCAGTCGTGTACTACCTCCTGCATTGACTTAACCATGGTTTGCAAGCCTCTTCTGTGCTTGACTGTGTCCTGGCGCCATCTGTGCTTGAACTTGTCGAAAGGCTTGGACTGAACCGACTTTGCCTTCAGGTCACCTCCAACAAGAGGCTCAAGCAGTGTAGGTACTGTGGTACACTCGTCCGCATACACATGGGCAGTTCAAGGGCGAGGTCCGAGTCCTGAACCTCTGCAATCCTTTGCACAATCTGGGCCGAGCATCGTTCAGAATCGTTCATCCTCGTTCCCTCCGGGGACTCTTAGCTACAGTTGCTTTCTTTCGAAGCACCGGTACGCCCGAGCCATTCAAGCAGCCGGTAGATTCAAGACGAGTTCCATGATACAACCAGCATATGTGTGTTCTACAAACCCAATCGGCATATAGCCTGTCCGCTGCACAAGGCCCGCAGCCCAGTCAGCCACTCCCCAAAGACAACAACAGTAGCGCACAGAGCAACACGTCTTCAGCGTGCATCCGCCTGATGTGTATCCACTTTGCGAGCAGGCTTCCGTGTCTGCGCCCAAGGCATCCGGTTGGTGCACCTCAGGTGAATCACGTGTGACAAAGTCGGGGTCCACATGAAACTGGAGGGCATGTGCCGATACAGCGCGACAAATTGAAATCTGCACCTCACCGAACACGCTCCTTAGCTTCAAGATGAATGCAACTGTCTACATGTCCTGGCTCACATCAGGAACTTCACAGCTGCGGACAAAACTGCAGCCTGGGGTCTCGAAAGCCCTGATCCACAAGTCGTCGTCACGTGCTACCCGCAGATGGATCTCCCTTGAGACGGCCAGCAGTGCCCTGCAGTCTACCACCTCCAGGAACGTTGCTGCCTTGGCTGCACTCCATTCAGGGACCGGCACGGTATACTTTATTGCTGGTGCAGCACAGAAGCCGGAAAGAGGGGGGAATCCAGCTCATGCCAAGCACTTCCCATGACCTGGGGGTTTCCGAAAATAGGGACCCTAATATAGCACCCTAAATAGTAGGATCCTTACTATAAAGGGACCCCAAGATAAGGTACCCCTTTATTTTCGGAAAGTCCCACCTCTTCTCCGGCTGCTTTCTGCCTTGTCGCAGTGCGCGAGGATCGAGGTCCAGGCCTGACTTGACGGGAGCCGAGTCACTGCTTCAGCGAAGATTTCGAGTTCAAGGAACTTTGACTTAAGTTACCATAACAGGGATCTATAGTCTATAGTAAATAACATGGTTTCTGTATAATGGTAACTCAAGTCAATTAAATCCCTTAACAAAAACGCAGGATAGGCTGGCCGTGAATGCAGCCCAGCTGCAAAGGTCTGGGCTCGAAGTCAAAGGGGAGCTCGACCGAACACGCTGAGCGAAAGTAACCTCATCTTGAGCTCATTCTCAAAGGCAAAGCCAAGATGACCCAACTCTTTGGTAAATGTCGAAATAAGCGACTTTAAGCCCCACTATAATACGAAACCTTGTTGCAGCCAAGCGGCCATTTGCAGCCTTTCTAGGATCATTGGAGAAGCGCTGCAACTGGTTTTCCAGCTGCTCTTGAGAAGCATGAGGGCCCACGAGGCCTCTCGAGTGTGAACAAAGCTGATAGTTGAGATGCACCAAGCAATTCTACTACATCTGCGTGACTAACCTGTCCATGTATCTGTCGTTATACATGTGCTCATTTCTTTCTGCAAGTCTAGGGGGGTGTTGCCCCACCTCCCCATGAGGAGTTGTACTGTAGTGCTGGTAGTGAGCATCGGCTTGCTCTTCGAGGGGACTGAACCAGCAAAAACAACGACAACCTCTGGTGTCTCGTTCTTCCTCTTCTTCTGCAAGGGCTTGGGGGGGACGAGTCAGGTCCGTTGGCCATTGGGGTCCACTATTTCTGGGGCTGCTTTTTCTTGTTTCGCATTTTTGTTGTTTTTTGGTTGTTATATATGTGTATGTGTATACATATATA